ACCCAGGCCGGACCGGCAGGCAGCTCGCTCAGGGCCCCGTGGGCGCCTTCGTCAGCTCAGGTAGCAGAGTCGCCACCCCGACTGAGGCGGCAGCGGCCGCCCTTCCTGGACACGCGGCACTTTTGTTTTCTTTTTGCAGTTCTGGGGTGGAACTCGTGGCCCTGCCCTGGGCTCCAGGCTTGGCCGTTTCTTAGTTTTTAGTTTGTGCCAGGGTCTCGCTAAGTCTCTTTAAGTTCCCAAGCTGGGCTCCAACGAGCGAGCGATCCTCCTGCCTCGGCCTCGCTGAGCACAGGGACCACGCCTGGCACTGTGTCACCGACTGCTACACGCACGTGTTGTCGCAGGGCCACGTGCTGGGCTCGACGCCTTCCCCGCATCTCCCACCGACGGGTGGATCGGCGCGGAGCCCCGGGTAGAACAGAACCCACGCTGGCTCGCTCGCTCTGCGGGGCCCACCTCCCACCTCCTTCGGGACCGGGCACAGGATCGTTGTGGTTTTAACCACAGCCGCACACCCTGTGCTTAGGGCACCGGGCTCGGCTCCCCGGCACTGTGCAGTGACCCGAACAGAACGTGCCCGCTGCTGTCCCAGGCCACTGCGACCGGGAACCCGTGTCCCGCGGTCTAACGGACACCTTGTGCTCTTAGGGCTGACACCCCCACCTCTCCCTCCCCAGCCTCACAACCCATCCTGCTCTGGCCTGTTTCTCTGAACTTTCCAGCTGCCCCACAGCAGAGCGATTCTGCGGCCAGGAGCCTGGCTTGTTGGGCCGGGCATGACGTTCGCAGCTCTGTCCTGTGGACGGTGAGCAATGGGGGCCCTCCTTTTTCAGGGCTGAATAGTATTCTGGCACAGAGGCCCCGGGCACTCACATGGGCTCCCCACTGTGGATGTACTCCCACAGCAGCTCCTCTGACAGCTCCGAGAACTTCACCTGCGTCTCCTCGTAGAACTCTGAGACTTCCGTTTCTAGCTCGCCGTCTGTAAGTACAGAGATCCAGAGGAAGGTCACAGGCCGCCTACGTTCCTGGCATCTGCACAGCTACTTTTTTTCCCTAGGTGTTTTTTTGTTTTGTTTTGTTTTGGGGGCATTGTCTATAGTTCAGGCTGGCTTTGCAGTCACTGTGTAGTCCAGGCTGGCCTCAAACTCGAAGCAGTCCTCCTGCCTCAGCCTCTCCAACGCTGAGATGACAGGTGTGCACCACCGTACCCAGCTAGGGATTATTTTAGACGAAAGGAGCCTGGACGGGGTGCCCCACCTGCGCCTCAAGTTCAAGGGACGCCCCGAAATCAGTGAGCAAGCAGGACCCTTGGATGCGGTCCTGCCAGGAATTAGCAGGAGATAACGGTGATGAGGCCGTCCCGCCTCAGCCTCCTGACCCCAACGGCAGCGTCCTTGAGAGAGACAGAAGACACAGACAGAGAGGAGAAACCGCGTGGAGACGAGGGAGGCTGAGGCAGGAAGGTCGCGGCAAGCTCGAGGCCAACCTGGGCTGCTCAGGGAGACTCTGTCTCAAAAAACCAAAAAACAACCCTGGTCATAACAGAGAGAAATCAGACTCCTTCGCAGTGGCTCGCGCAGGAAGACGCGTGGCTGTGCATCACGCACGCGCCCCTCCCGCCCACCGAGGGTCGCAGTCCTTTGCGGGAGGCTGAGGCAGGAAGGTCGCGGCAAGCTCGAGGCCAACCTGGGCTGCTCAGGGAGACTCTGTCTCAAAAAACCAAAAAACAACCCTGGTCATAACAGAGAGAAATCAGACTCCTTCGCAGTGGCTCGCGCAGGAAGACGCGTGGCTGTGCATCACGCACGCGCCCCTCCCGCCCACCGAGGGTCGCAGTCCTTTGCGCG